GCAACTTCCTACCCTCAGATTCCTGCCATACTTCTGGATATCTGCTGAACAAACTGAGGTGAACCTGATCCATGCCGTCATATTTTGGCACAGTGAAGAGTTTCTAGCACTCTCTCACTCACTCTTTCTCTCTCACTCTCTCACTCTCTCACTTGCTCTCCCATAGTTGCAGCGAAGAACCATCTGTCACTTGTGCTTCTGCCAGTCTGCAGTTCATGGTCCTCACTGTCACAGTATTTAATTTAGGATAAAATGACTGTAATGAAAAACTACATTTTCAACACAGCAGAATAAACATATGACTGATTCAAGAAGCAGGTTTTGACAGTTAACCTCATACACTACAGTACAGTATTAGTACACCTACGACCTACGACCACTGTGTAGTCATACACAAATACTGGAAGAATATGAAGTCAAATTCATCACAAAGATTTCCCTAGAAATTTGTGAGAAACGTGTGCAGAACTCTGACGTCGGTCCAATACCCCCTGCATGACAACAGGAATTTGGGTATTTTCACACACACACACACACACACTGTTTGTACAATTAAAAAATAAGCTGCATCTTTTTCTCATGAAATTCTAAACCTGTTCAACAGAGCAGTGTGAGAATATTCTTCATTGACCCCGACGTTATCTCTGGTACTAATTCATTTTTTTAACCTTTGAACAGAGATTTAAAGATTTCTTTCTAATCTTTACAGTAACCTTGGCTGACTCCTGGAACTATATGTACTCATCAGATAGGAGGCGCTGTATCAGTCGTCTCATCTGACTCCTCGCAGATCAGATGGCATACTTGACCAAAACGTCAACTTCCAGATGACAGACCGTCTGTCGCAGTCCTGTTTGGTGCCATTCATAGTTACCTGATTGAGCAAGTGCAGTAACAAGGTACAGTGTGTTACAGTGTGTTACAGTGTGTTACAGTGTGTTACAGTGTGTTACAGTGAGTGTACGGAGGACAGGCATGGCGTGCCTTTCTAAAAAGGGGAACTTTAATGTAGGAGGGTGACAACATCAGTGACATCACCAGGTGCCTCTCTGTCTGTCTGCACATCACACACACACACACACACACTGTCTTTAAGGACCAGTCAGACAGCACTGTCCTCCACCTGTCTCCACTGTTACCTGCCTCCACTTATTACAAGGGTCCCCACTGTAAGTGCACATGTCAACAGTGAAATTACAGGGCAGGGATGCGCACACAAACACAACATATTTGTTTTGCTTTTAAAAGGCTAATATCCGTCTGCACGCAAAGTGATACCTTCATTGTTCCCTCACCCGCAGTCCCTTTCCTTCCACCCCTCTCCCCACCCTCCCCGTTTTTTTTTTTTTTGTTTTTTTTTGGCATTCTTTGTTTGTGACCAGGCCAAAAAACAAAGCAGGTGATGTTCAAAGGCAACAGTGACGGGGACATGAATGCAGACGATGCGCGGGGATGATGGACACACGCTGGTGTAATGACAAGGAGGCAGAGCCCGGGTCCAGACAGCGTGGACTTCACCTGTAGTGATTACAAACCATTTCTGTGGCTGCGTCTTCAGAGCCGCTGCTTTGTTCTCCTCGCTTACACAGCACTTAGCTCCTGACTAATGAATTAAGGCGCGAAAATGTGTGCAGATGAAAGTGTCTGGTCGAGACAGGCGACGGGTTTGACGAGAACAAAGCCTGAAGTGCAGTGTCTTTAAACAACGTTTCTTGAAAAACAACATTTGTCTGCCTTCACCTTTAAACACACTTTTGGACGTCATGTTTTTTAGAAATATAACAAACCAGGTATTATAATAATACCATTGAAGTGAAGCAAAGGCCTATAGAAATTACTAATAGCACAAGAGTAAAATTTACTTTCAAAATTTGAATATACTTGTATTGAATATTTAGTAGGATAAATCCTCGAATATTTCATATTTATTTCTGTTGAGGCTAACACTACATATAAAGTATGTCTACTGTATATGTATTTTAGATACTCTTTACTGTACTGCTAGTTAGTCCTGCTAAGTGTTAAGAAGGTGAATGGTTGAGCCAGTGTCACATGTTGTTACAGCGGTGGGGGGTTTGTTTTTGTCCTCTCTTCCATCGCTCTTTCACTACGTTGGCTTTAGTCCACCTGAGTGCTTTCTTCCCCTTTTTCAACACCATCAGTATCAACAATGACACACTCCTCAGACTGACTGGCTCTGTGCCTCTGCTTACGTGTGTTTTCCCGCTGAAAGGAATCGTGACTGCGTCTCAATAGAAACTGACAAAATGTTTTTATTCTGAAACAGACAGACGTGATTTCACCGTTCGACAGCCCTGGACGTGTTCTCACGGATCTGATTTAGTTTAAAAAAAATTAAAAAGTAATGGCTGCTCTTTTGTCGTCTACCAACACAGGCTGCAGCGTTAATCACGACTGAAACTCTACAAAAGCAGGCCGGGCCTTGTTGACCTTCCCGATGATCGTGCGTGATGACGCGAACACATTCAGTATTTCCTATAATTTGTTCGCCGATCGTGTCCGCCCCTAGCCTGGACCCTCAATAACATCCTGCAGTCGGAGGACATCAGAAGGAACAGGTCGAACTGACCCTCCACTACATCATACGTGGAACAGGACAGAGCAGAGACTGTTATTCCGGCCTGGGCTTAATGACAGTTGAAAGAGACAGAAACAGACAGGAAGCCTGTCCCCTGTGATCTCTGTATTTTAGAGCTTCCTTATTATTGCTTTTGTGCTGTGTAACATTGAGATCCCTCAGGCTGCCATTATTGTGCCAAAGAACTGCTCCTCCACTTTGACGCTAGGACGCTATATATATGTATCTACATATGTAGATACATATATCTATATCTATCTATATATAGATAGATATAGACGTCTCTTTTCAAAATAAAAAAATAAAAAAAATAAAATAAAAAAACTATATATATCTATATATATAGATATATAGATAGATAGGTATAGAGGTCTTTTTTATTTTGAAAGGAGACAAAATTACCAACTTGTTCCGACCCCTGTACGATGATGTATTTTGAAAGGAGACAAAATTACTTGTTCCGACCCCTGTACGATGATGTAGCTACTCTGTAATATTTGAATACCTCGTCCTCACCTGGACTTGTCTGGACTTGCCTTTGATTTTTTACCATATCATTTCCTTTCAAGGAGATGTTTAAAATGAATGGACTACACAGTATTAAGATTAGAATTTAAATTCAAATTAAATAGATCTCCCTTAAAAAACCTACAACCCACAGGTCCCTGTCAAGGTCAGAGGTCGGCTGAAGGCAGTGCTGGTAAATGAGTTGTATTTTAGTAGGACTTTTGGGGGTTATTATCCAAATAAGAAATGACACAGATTACTACGTGACTGGGCGGCCGACCGGGTCTTTTTTTATCTTTGCATGTGACACTAGTTCATCCTGTGTCATGATGTCACAATGCTGATGTTATGTCTTAATCTCATTGATTGACAAGATAAGCCTCTTCCTCTGTGTTGTATTATTTATTTAGTCACGGGGGGAGGAGGAGGAGAGGGAGGGGGAGAAAAAGGAACACCACTGTCTCTCCATAGGTAAGTCTTGACACGAGCGGCTCAGAGCAGAGTTCAGGGAGATTTATGGATGAGTTAACCTCGTAGTAACCCTGCGTCGTGAAAGACAGCAGGCGGTCATCCCTCTTTGTCCACAGCAGCAGAGACAGGTGCTTCCGACTGCAGGGGGACAGATCACTGTCGACTGTGGACAATGGTAGAAAACAGGAGGAAGAGGAGGAGGAGGTGGTGGTTTAATTTATATGTAGACAATTTAAAGCCGACTCGATCCTGTGTCCAAACCACACGCAGACATGTGAAGGGAGTAAAATGTCCATATTTCAGTGCAACCACAAAGCGAGTCCTTCAGGCTGTCAGTGATTTGTCTTGGCTCCTCTGTTGTCTGAAGAACCAGAGGTGTCAGGACAATAGTACTCTGACCCATATCTGAGCCTGACAAAGGTAAACAGGAAGAGATCCTCTTTGCATAGAGGTGTATTTCTGACTCCTAGTGCAAGGAAGTGAAGAAGAATAGTGTTGGGGGGAGAAAGAGGAGTAGCAGGAGCCTAAGATTGTCCTCTGCCCCCCCGAACCTCCCACTCCCAAACCCCCCAATTTAACTACAAGATTTCCAGACACTAAAAGATCGATCAGAGAGGTATCTTAATCCCTTATTTAATTTAAGATTATTGAGGTTACATGACGGTAGAGAAAACCAAGTCACACTGAAACTTCAATACAAAAAAAAAAAATCATCATCAACAGCAAAACAATTTCAACATTTTAAATGATGGCAGTGGTGCAGTTATGAAGTACTGTAGTAATACTACTGATTTATAAATAAGTACACAAGAAAGCTGTGGATAATTTGGTGTGTTTAATCTGTTGTCTAAACGTGTCACACCTGATCTCGAGGAAAGTACCATTAGGATTTTTTTTATTAGCATGTAAGCTGAATATTCAGTACAGTAACTTTGATTTTTGAATAAAGTCGGAGGCCTGTCCTCAACTACAGTCAGGTCCATTTCAAAGAGGTTAAAGGGCCAGGGGTTGCCCCCAACCCAGATATTTAAAACACATCCATACAAGTTAGCCTTTGCTGGAGTCAATACTCTCTCTCCAGGAGCAGCGGCAGCAGCCTACAGTACAATAACATTTTTGGGTATGATCCAAAAGTCAAAGCCTGTTGCCATCTTTGGTCATGTTAACTTCAAACAGAAGGGACAGGGTGTGTCCAACTTAATAAACAAATAACATGCAATTAACACATTCCAGATATGCATAGGGATAAACCTGTTAGCATTAGCACTCGCTAACTAACTATATGGAGCAGTTAACTTCTGTTTACTGATGTTGTTCAGCCCTATATATACACTTGACACGTGTATTTAAGTAACCACTTTTAGCTGCTCCCAAAACAGACAACCACAGGCACTACAATGTGTCCTACTTTAAAAAAAGAACATTTTACAGCACTTATTCACGCACATATTTAAAATGGTGTGTATTTAGTTATGTGGCTATATTGCTAGTTAACTTGCCTACGGCCAGCTAATGTATTAACAGGTAGAATGTAGGCTAATTTAAAGCTACATTTACGGCGTCAAACATACTGACCTCTGCACTTTCCCAGATATATTTGCAAAAATGTTCATACGTGTCCAGCATGTTTTTGGTCTGCTTTAGGACAGTTAGCTTTACGCTATCATAGAATGTGCTCTATACGACCTAAAACATACGGTATCATTGTATTTGCTGTGTGTTAATTGGCCATAAAAAAGGGATGATTATGTATGAGCAAATACGTCATGTAATGAAGATGTTCAATAGTGTATTGGACATTAGTACATTGACGTAGAATTAACAATTAATTATCATACGTCTGGCAACGCTGCTACTTAGTAGTCCAATCAAAAAGCCAAGTTAGCTTTAGACCAAGCTTTTTCTGTCTTCTGTGTTAATACAGTCACCCATTATGAACTTCATCCACTGAGAATGACACAACAACTCAGCTGAATCATCTCTTGGTTTTCCTTCTCTGACAAAAGCCCTTGTGTTTTTCTCCACTTTCACTATTTACACTTCCACGATAACATGCCATCGTCAAAGAGCCTTATTCTTGACTTCCTGCGGATCAGTGGCGTGACAGTTCTTGACAACAATTCATACACTGAATTTGAAAGTTACAACGCTCTGCTATCTGCCCCCAAGACATCTCACTGTCAGACCAGCAGAGGTATCCAAACAATGTGTTTCCTTTTCAGCTGAAACAAATACTGCTGTATAATTAAACCTGTCTCTGGGCTCTTATCTACATAGCTGGAGGATGACATGCAGCCACAATGTCGCATGGCAGGAGACAAACACAACATAAAAAAAAGACAGGGTCTGTGCTGGAGACGGTAGAAAAATATTTCCTAAATAAAGATAGAGACTGGAGTGAACCAAATGCAGTGTAGTGAAGTCTGTATTTTATGTTTCCATTTTTGGACTTAATTGATATTTTTCCCAAGCATGTGTTAATTTCAGTGTGTGTGCAGTGAGAAATGTTCAAAATGCAGATATACACTTTTTTTTTTACACATTTAGTCTCAGGCACAACATCATTACAAAAAAGTGATTTCATAGTAAAAATGTTGCCACATTTGGCAGCTTTTACCTATAACGTTTTACCTATTTGAGTTTTGTTTTTATTTTTTTTAAAATCATTAATACGATATTTACCCGTACTTCCCGTGCTGAGAGAAAGTTTTCTTATACATAGTCAACTAAAACCTGACTAAGACTTCAGATTTTAGATCACTAAAATATGAACAAAACGAATTAGTGTGTCATTCAAAAAACTAAGCTAAAATCAGAATTGGCTGTCAAAACGAACGCCGGTACTGTACGTGGGTGTGTGCAGCTGCTGCAGTGCCCCCTGCTGAAGAAGGCAGCCAGCGAAACCTTAGACTGACGCTGTAACTGTGAAAAAAAAAAAAAAAAAGAAGCTTAGAATGAATCACAACACACAACATACTTAGGTTTATTTGTTGTCTTTCTATACTTTTCTTAGTTTAACTCCACTGTGACTGCATGTAGATCAACTGAAATGAACCTGCAATCATTTTATACAGAAAAGAGGAAAACAACTTAGAAAACCACGGAGTAAAACAAAGTAATTCCCTCTCTCATTTTTAATACCCCATTGTCGCCCTCTGTCGGTTGTTTAAGATTAAATCGGTACCAGTTAAAGGTTAAAACCTGCAGTGAAAGATCCAATATGGAGGGAACCAGCATCAGCCCTTCCCACCATGACAGTGACGAGTCAGTATTGCATATTCAAAACATTAAATTAAGTCTTTAAATCTTGAATGTCTGTCCCGTGTCCTCCACTGTGTTCCTTTCGGTAACTAATAGAGGGCGCTGCAGAAATTCTTTCTGCCCTTGTTGTCGTCACGTGGTTGTCTTTGGAGCGCTGCTCTTTGACTCTGAGCCGCTGAAAGGCTGTCCGGCGTCTACTGTTGATGTTTTGCAGGGTTCACAGAATCATTACCAGAGCGAGTATTGTAACTCTGAATCAACGGTTTTTGTGTCAAAAATCAAAAAACCTGCCCCCCAGAATGTCCTTCCAATACCCACAGGCTTACCGTGACGAGGCGGTGGTGAGTAAACGTTTGTGGCAGGTTAGCCAAGCAGGCTAACAAGCCGGGCTGCTTAATCATCACTGTTTCCCATTCGTTACAATGAGCCTGCTTTGTTAGCATGCTAGTTCGATTAGCGATTCTAACTAACTAACTTTACAGTCGCTCAGAAGATCTTCGCCAGCTGACCTTCATATACTTCCAAAGAGCTCGAGACTAAATAGCCGTTAATTTACACTAACCGATTTGTGACAAGATCGTACAGTTTTTGTTTAACCTTTTCCAGAACCTTTTTTTGCTCATTCAAATAGCTTATTATCATTCAATTTTTACACGTTCCAGGTGGATGACTATCATGGCCACAAGGTATCAGATCCATACAGTTGGCTGGAAGACCCAGACAGTGAAAAGACACAGGTACAGCCAACATTTGATTTATTTATTTTATTTTTTACACTCTTAAAATACAAGATGGTTAAGTGAATATGATAGCAGGGTGTCATAGGGTTTCTGATTTATGGAAGGCTCATCTTTTTCTACTAGGCCTTTGTCACAGCTCAGAACCAGTTGACATTACCGTTTTTGGAGTGTGAAGTTCGAGATCTGTTCAAGCAGCGAATGACAGAGCTGTATGATTACCCCAAGTACAGCTGTCCCTTTAAGAGGGGGAGTCGGTAAGGCCTGGCGTTAGTGTATTGTTGAAATATAATCCTTTCAGTTTATTGGCATTTCATTTTTGAAACTTCACTCACTTTCAAGTTTTCTTCCTGTCTCTTCAGGTACTTCCACTTCTACAACAGTGGGCTCCAGAACCAGAGTGTGATGTACATGCAGGAGAGTCTAGATGCTAAGCCCACTGTCTTCTTAGATCCAAACACCTTTTCTGATGATGGAACAGTAGCCCTGCAGGGTGAGACTCTTGTCCATGTGTTATGTTTTAGTTTTGTTTTGTGATGGAATTCATTTAAAACTTCAGTTTTCATGTCCTCTGTCTTTGAGGCTATGCGTTCTCTGAGGATGGGGAGTACCTAGCATATGGTACCAGTGCCAGTGGATCAGACTGGGTGGAAATGCGGTTCTTGCGTGTCGAAGGTGCCATGCCTCTGGAGGACCGTCTGGAGCATGTCAAGTTTAGCTGCATGTCCTGGACTCATGATGGAAAAGGACTCTTCTACAACTCTTACCCTGATCAGGAGGGGAAAAGTGACGGTGAGACAAACTGTTGTTGAATAAATAAATAACTATTTTAAGGTGTTAATACATTTTAAAAATATATTAGAATAAGTGATATGCCTGAACTTATCTTATTTTCGTTAGGCACTGAAACCTCCACTAACCTACACCAGAAGTTGTTTTACCACGTTCTTGGAACGCCGCAGTCTGAAGACGTGCTGGTTGCTGAGTTCCCTGACCATCCAAAATGGATGAGTGGAGCTGAGGTCAGCACGCAGCGGTTTTGTGTGTGTTATTAAAGCTTTAATGAGTGTGCAACCTGCCAGATTGAATAACCATAATAACCAACTGTGTGCCTCAGGTGTCTGATGATGGCAGATATGTGCTGCTGTCCATCAGGGAAGGCTGTGATCCAGTCAACAGACTCTGGTACTGTGACCTTCACACCACTCCTCAGGGTATTACAGGTATGATTGTGTAGGTTTAACTTACTGTTACTGTTGTGTCACTGTCGCAACATTAAAATACTTGTCCCCTTGTGTTTAGGACTGTTGCCATGGGTGAAGCTCATCGACAACTTTGACGCTGAATACGAGTATGTGACCAACGAGGGCACGGTGTTCACGTTCAAGACCAACCTTGACGCCCCGTGCTATCGTCTCATCAACATCGACTTTGCCTCTCCAGCTCAGAGCAGCTGGAAGGAGCTCATTCCTCAACACGAGAAAGACGTGATTGGTCAGTTGCCGCTGCAGGATAAATAACCACGATCAAAGACAATGACTTTTCCTTTTCCTTCATTTTAACTTCCCTTTCTTTTTATTCCCCAGTGTTTGCGACCTGTTCGTACTCCTGCTACCTGTTTGTGTGTTTCCTCCACGACGTGAAGAATGTGTTGAAAATGTACCGTCTGAGCACAGGAGAGGAGCTGAAGACCTTCCCTCTGGAGGTCGGTTCCGTGGTCGGTTTCACAGGACGGAAAAGAGACTCTGAGATCTTCTACTACTTCACCTCTTTCCTCTCTCCAGGTACTGTACTGCCACACACACTGTCTGTAAATAAATGCACTGAGACTAGGAATCCCGGCTGTCCCACAGTTTATATAAACAAATAAAGGACATGTATCGTCTTCTGTGCAGCCATCATCTACCATTGTGATCTGACAAAGGAGCCGCTGCAGCCTCACGTCTTCAGAGAAGTCACAGTCAAAGGTTTTGACCCCTCCGACTACCAGACCACCCAGGTAACCTGGACCAGGACCATGATTCCTTTACTACATTACATTCTTTTCATAAATTCCTACATATACATCTAAGTGTTTTAAAAATGAAATAGTGCCAAAAAGGATAAAAATATTGCAAGCTACATAAAATGATAAACATCATAGAAAACGTAATGGTTTATGACCCATTTATGTATAAAGTTTAACTCGGTTAAAAAAAAGGAAATGGCTCAAATAATTCAAGAACAGCTTCATTGTCTTTGACAAAACTCCTGTCTCCACCTGATTATCTGTCTGTCCTTCTGTTTTTTTTTTTCGTTTCCTTTTTCAGATCTTCTATCCATCCAAGGACGGTACTGAAGTCCCCATGTTTATTGTCCACAAGAAAGGCCTCAAAATGGACGGATCACATCCTGGTTTCCTGTACGGCTATGGGGGCTTCAACATCTCCATCACGCCGAGCTACAGCGTCTCCCGCCTCATCTTTGTCAGGCATCTGGGAGGTGTTCTTGCTGTCGCCAACATCAGAGGAGGAGGGGAGTACGGGGAGACCTGGCACAAAGGTGAGGACAGTCGTTCAGCACTGCAGAACGATCTGTTTTCAGGATGTGAGAATGTCGCCTGTCATCCATACGTGCTGCTGATTCATTGTCAGAACCTGGTTTGAAATCGGGTCAATGCAGCATTTTCACTGAAAACGCATAAAAACCGTGGTTTGTGGTATAAAGAAAACTTGTTCGTTTTCCCTTCCTTCCCCTGCAGCTGGCATGTTGGCCAACAAACAGAACTGCTTCACAGATTTCCAGTGTGCAGCTGAATATCTCATTAAGAAAGGATACACCTCTTCTTCCAAACTCACCATAAATGGAGGCTCCAACGGGGGTCTGCTAGTCGGTATGTTTGTGTGTGTGTGTGTGTGTGTGTTTGTGTGTTGTTGGCTCGTGGTTGAACTCGATGGTCTGACGTGCGTTTCTTCTCCTTTAGCTGCCTGTGTGAACCAGCGACCTGAGCTGTTCGGCTGTGCCGTCGCTCAGGTTGGCGTCATGGACATGCTGAAATTCCACAAGTTCACCATCGGCCACGCCTGGACCACAGACTTTGGCTGTTCAGAAGACAAAGAGCAGCTTGACTGGCTCATCAAGTAGGTGCCAATGTCAACTCCGTCCTCAGGCCAGCGCCTCCTTTTGTGGTCCATGGATCTGAAGAACTTCATAACCAGAACTGACACACTGACATACAGCTGCTTAAGCCCGGATGTGGAGCTAAATGTTAATTAAATATAGCATTCATTTAATATAGCTGTTTCTTTATTGAATTTGATTTTCATTTATAAAACTTAGGCAAAAATGAGCTAATTTAGCCAAATGCTAACAAATCGATACTGAAGATACTTATCAGACAATTTGACAAAAAAAAAAAGTGAAATGTTGGCCCGGAAATAGCCCATCGTCACCAATAATTGGACAAAATAATTTAAAAAATCACATCAGAAACGGAAGTAGGTCAATGATGAAACAATAAAATCTAAATGTAGTTAAAAACAACTACATATTAATGTTGACCATCATAAGACCTGAGATGTTAGGATATACAGTCATATAATCAGTGTAATTGTAAACATTTTTGACGAATCTTTTAACTTCTTTGTACCAGATACTCGCCGCTCCACAACATCCGTGTCCCACATGGGGATGGGATCCAGTATCCCGCTGTCCTCCTGCTGACTGGGGACCACGATGACCGGGTGGTGCCCCTCCACTCTCTCAAGTACATCGCAACCCTGCAACACACCGTGGGTCGTTCCCCCAAACAGTCAAACCCCCTCTTCATCCTCGTGGACACAAAGTCTGGCCACGGCGCCGGCAAACCCACCAGCAAGGTGATTCAGGAGGTGGCCGACACCTACGCCTTTATCGCTCGCTGTCTCAATCTGTCCTGGGTCAAATAACTGGCCTGTTTTTCTAACAATAGTCGTTTTAATGGTTCACGTTCTGGAGGATTTAACAGCAACGGTTCACACACAGCTGTTTAAAGTTTAAAACATTTTACCTTGTTTACAAGAACTATGGTCAGTACTGAAAACTGAAAATAATACACATCACATACTCGATACATACTAAATGTTCAGCCTCCTAATGAAGAAACATTTAACTGGAGCAGGGGCGCAGGCTTAAAGTTGCACTGAGCAGAGTAGCATTAAAGGGTGTGAACGGTTTCTTGACGAATTATAAGTATCAACAGTTCTGGAATTCTTACTTAGTTTCATCACGAGGACCAACACCTGCCATAAAGTCAGATTGGGCACAAAAGTTCAGCTGTTGTAATAGGGTTTTGTTTTCCTATTTACTAATTAAGATCTTACAACAAAAGCCATGATCTGCAAAAAAACATCTGTCATTATTTTGACCTTTTTTAATTGAAATGTTAAGATGAAAGGTCTTATTAAAGATAAAGAAAACCTAAAAAAAAAAACTGGCATTTTGTGGAAACCTTTTTTCATTATTATTATTTCTCAATTTACACAAACCTCTAGTGTTTACTCATCATTCATTACACCACGTCAGACTTTCACCTTTACAGCCACAGGAATCAGTCAATCAGAAGTTAAGGTCATGAGCCTAACGTGAAAATCCTGATCTGAATCTGTGCTGTCGCGATTTGTATACATTTTTTATGCACAGGAGAAAAGTCGGCTTCAGAACCAGACTGTCGGTCTGCTGGAAACCCGGTGAGACAGCATTGTGTGAGTAATGACTCAGGCTGAGGGAGGTTGTTCAGAATCCAGTTTGTGTGGGTGAGACACTGAGTGAGTGAGTGAGTGAGTGGATTATAAATGTCAGTTCCCACATGAGTTCTACCTCTTGACGTCTGTTGATTCCTCACCTTCTAAAAGGTAGAAAACAAGATGCCACAGCTACAATTACAGCTTTTTCATGTTGTGTTTATTGGTTTCATAGGGGGCAGAGCTCCCTGACCTTTTATGAACGTCTGAAGTGGTCTTCCTCTGGGCCTCCTCATCTTTTTAAAGAGGCTGATGTGTTGAGATGATGTGTGTAAATGAGAGTCGACTCAGAGTAAAACATCTACTGATGGTCGACCAAATGCAAATACAGTGTTTTCAGTGTTACATTTTTCCTCTTTGGTCCAGTTTCAGTCTCAAATGCAAATACAGTGTTTGTTATTTTTCCTCTTTGGTCCAGTTTCAGTCCACAGCCCAGGGGTTTGGAACCTCTTCTCTGAATAATATAGAACATACCCTGATGTTCATGCTCATTCGTCTCTTAGCCGTCTATCCTGTTCAGTTTAAGGTGACTTTGGGCAAGAGATGAGTATAAACCTTGACTTGTCACCACTTAATTGTGAGGTTTATCACGTTCAGAGTCAAACTGTCCTCCACCTCCTGGTGTCCAGATAATCCATGTCTGCATGTGTCCTTGTTCACTGGTGCTGATAATAACTTAAGGGGTGTTTCATTTAACATTTTGGAAATTTTTACTGATTTATTTCATAGACTGCTTCATTTTCATGTAGGGGAAACATCCAGATGGTTAAAAAAAACAATACTAATACAAAAAATACAAACACAGGATTCTTAAAAATGCCAAAAGATAATTATTTTCATAGAAGCAGTAATTTAAGAAATCACAACGAAAACAATAAATAGTTGTTTTTATCCAGACCAATATAGGTTTAGCTGAAACACCCCAGAGCATAACGGGTGGACGTTAACAGAGTTAAAATAACTCAACATTTAGATAAATTGACACAATAGCTCAGAAAAATAAAAGCTAGACAAAATATAGAAAATACGGTAGGGTGTAGGTCTAAAATAATTAGCACAGCAAATTAAAGCTAGCAAATGTATAAAACAATGAACTGACTGTCAGATGCTAGGGCATTAATAGAAGTATTTTTAACTTAGCTTTTACTTTATAATTAATGGAAGTATTTTTAACTTAGCTTTTACTTTGAAAACTAGATAATTAACGTGCAGAATGGACAGGTGTCTTGTCCGCCAACAGGGGGCAGTCTATCTAACAATGACCAACACGTGCAGCCGAACAAATTGACGCAGGCTCCATGTGGACCGTTCATCACAGACATGTTTGTGCACTGATGGTTCATGAGACGGTGTTAGACGAAAAAAAACAAAGGTTGGTGGCTGGTTAAACGGTTAAACGACTTAAGTTACATATCCTCCGATTAAATTTGGACTAAAAATAGCTTCAATGAACATAAAATGTAAAAGCTAAACTTTCTAAACGTGCGCTAATCTCTGTACGAAATCTAAATCCTAAACTAGTAAATTAACTACCATAAAACTTAATGTTAATGTAATTATTTTTAATTAATTAACTTGAATTAGAGGCCAATTATTATCGCCTCATACATTAAGGACTTTTAAATAGTATTAAATAGATTGTGGTTAGTTTAAGACATTATTAATATGGTTGTTGTTGGTACTTTTATTACTCACTGTAGGTGATGAATTAAAAAGCTGGACACCTGTCGTTGAAATAATAAATGCTCTTAATTGTTCAGTTTAAAATTAGCACCAAAAACGGTCTATTAATTCAAACAATGCGTAGTTTAAAAGGGGCCCCATGCATGCTCTTGCAAGTGGAAAAACATCCAGCAGGTGGCGTTATGGCTGCTGTTTGACGTTTTGATCCAAAAAGGCACACGTTCTCATAAATATGGTAATTATTATCAATTTCGATTGGCGGTTTTTTTAAAGCTACCAGAAACCAACTGGCCTTTTTGCGAACCTGAAATCAACAAAATTAAAAATTAACATATTGGGAAAAAAAGAATAAAAATCAGGCCGAAATTGGCTAAAGCTTAACAAGCTAAATGACCGAAAAAGCTACTAAAGTGTAGAGTAAAGCACAAAGTTATATATGAATATGGGTAAAGTAAAAACAAAATGGACACTTTTAGAAGAAAACATCAGTGAGATCAAGTCGAAACTAACGAAACTAAAGAACTGAAAACTAAGTAAACTAGAGCTAAAACCTCACGTGAGGCAGCTTAAAACTTAAATAAAAACATTTAAAACGGTCCATTGTTTTAATAATTTCATAAATTCAAACAATAAACAAAACAACAGAAAAACTCTAAATAACCCGCGGGTCATTTCCGTTTCCTGTCCTTCCTGATCAGTTGAGTATTGATGGAATGAGTCACGTGATTCTTTCCACATAAAACAAAGTACTGTGTTAATTATTTTTGATTTAACGCGTGGAATTATTCAATCAATCAATGGCCCCATCATTTGATCAGTATTCACGGTTGGATTCGTTTTATTGACTTCCGTACACCAGCAGGAGCGTGTGGTCGTGTCACGCATCAGATGCGTGACGTGTGACGCACATCCGTCTCCATTTGTTGCCTTGGCTTCATCCATTCAAATGATCGATGCACATTTTCACACTAAATGTCGAAAATTCACAAAACCCCCTCAATATTTTTAAATTCTAAGGAAATGGAAATGATTGAAAATTTGACCGCATTTCAACTCCTTGTTTGTTTGAATGAAACTGACCTGGAGTCAGTTTAGTTTGGTTTGAATGATTGAGTACAGAGATAAGAGCAGGTTTGGGATCATTGGTTTAAGGTGTTGTTTAGAAAGGATTTGAAAGTTTGAAACTCGGGAAGTAAAGGCTTGAAAGTACATTTTTATTTTTAAAAAATGTAGTTTCCACGTTAATGGAGGAGTTCAGATAAGGTTGATGGTTGGATTGATGGATGGGGGTGGTGAAGTGAAGTGTATGGATCTCTATCAAGCAGGAACAGAGGTGGGGGAGGTTTCTCAGCAGTGATGGGGGAGGCTGTGAATGCCACATGGTTGTTAGACCGGTGAGGAGTGACTCATCTTCCTCTTTTGTGGATTTTTACTATGTTTTATTTATATATTTTTGGCACTCTTTTGAGCTTGTCCTTGGACTAAAATTGAATTACATAATTTAAACACCACTGCTGAGAAAGTTCCTCAACTTTGGATCATTTCCTCCTTTATCTGCTGCTTCTTTTGGACCTGCTTTCTCCAGATCTGTGCCACTGAAATCTGTTGCTTCACTGACAGACATTTAAAAGAAATCTTCCTCCTCCGTCATCTCCTTCTCACTGCTTCTCTGTCTTCTATTTCTACTGTTGCTTACTTGTGTTACAGAGTCACTATAAAATATTCATCCATGGAAAATCTCTTTGATTCCAGCAGCAGCAGCAGCAGTAGCCGCTCATTTGGCTCAAAGGCAGGTTAAAGAGAGTCCCTGAAACATGTAATTCAAACTCTGCACAGCTCCACAACCGAAGAACTGCTCCTTCCACATTCTGCTCCATCACTGGGACTCCATCAGGTCTGGGATCTGCCTGTGCCATTTCATTCATTCATTCATTCATTCAGTCACTGAAAGAGGAAAAAAGGCGAAAACAACATGTCTGATGCAACTTCTACAGGTGAGTCCAAGTTGATCATTCACGCCTGCTTGTAAATACGAGTTTTTATCTGTGGAACTGCGTAATCTGGGTTTTTAACTCGTCTCTTTCTTATTGTAATCATTTTGGAAATCACTGTATATGAAGCCAATAATGATCGTAGAGTTCGTGATTGGTTGTTTAATTGCGCTGGCGTAAACGAAAAGACGCAAAAAGTCTGAGTGTAAACGATAAAGCAGAATTCCCATAGAAAAACCCATCACATTTTAAATTGTCTTCCTTGTGTAACGGTGTTGTCTGGAGATTGTCGGCGATTGTCGACTGAATTATCATAACAGGGAGCTCATCGATCATTCGGTCATATTCGATCATTCATAAGAGGAGCGGAAACTTGAAACCCGGTCGAAAAAATGAAAGTTATCGTCAAAAGATAAAAGGCGCTCTCACCCTCTTCGACCCCACCAGGGAAATATAAACAAATAAATGTCATTATATAACAACATATACAATTAGTTGACTATTAAAAACAACTTTAACAGCAATAAATAAAACTGTGTGTATTAAAAATAATTAACTGCATTTCTGGCTCAGCGGTCGCACGGGCACAACCCCCCCTTTCCTCTGCGTGACGTCACGGATATTTCATTCACTTATTTTCTCCTTGTTTACCGCTGAGTCTTTGGCTTCATAAAATTATAAAAACCTCAGGAATGTTGTGAATATTTCAAAGTAGTAAACGTGATTCCGTCATTCAGTGCTTGATTTAGAGCAACAGAAAAATAAAATAATGGACTAAAGGATGGTTAGAAACTATTTTAAAGTGTGTTTAAGTGTTTGAGACGTAAATACATAATTTAAGTACAAACGCACGAAGTGAATTTGAGACGTAAATACATATTTTAAGTACAAACGCACGAAGTGAATTTTGATACTGAATCGGATTTTAAATGTCAGATTTGACGGTTGATGTTTGTGAAGCCGTAAAGTAGGTAGAATATAATCTGCACGTCTTTGCAGTCGCTGACGTAGGCCGG